TCTATGATGGATTATGAACAGAAAAAAAAAATCTGCAAACACACACTTTATTTAGGAACAACAAAACATTACATTTATTAATTGTTGATTTTTAAAGAGGTTTCACTGTATCCAAGATAGTTAGAATTATAAAGCACAATTTGGATTATAGATTTTTTTTTTTTTGCTTATCCCTAGTACACGTGGTACAGGCCATGATAATCAAGGAGGGTAGTTAGCGACTGCTTTTACTGTAAGTACACCACATGTCTACACATGTGAAAAGCAGTTAGACTTTGCACTTACAAATGTGCCAGAACCCCGTTTGGTTACTTGCACTCGCTGGTGGGGTTGGACTTTTGCAAGAATCGGGGGCCATTGGAGCATTTTTTTTTTTAACAGAAAAAAGTGTCCAATGCGGGAATTGAACCCGGGTCCTAGTGGTCGAAAACCAAACGGTTTAACCAGCCTTCCACCGACCCCCTTTATAGATTCTAATAAAAGAAAATAAGACCTTTAAACACGTTTAAACACTTGATAACAGTATACTATTTAAGAACTTGCTGTGATATTTTTTCTCTTTATTCTTTTGTCTGATGATGGTGACAATGTTGTTGCCGAAACGTCACACACTAATAAATTATTTGGATTAGGTCTTATTTTCTTTAAGATAGCTAGAACTTCTCTATAAAGGATAATACCTAGTTATAAATGTTCTCTTCCTGGAAAAAACAGCAATAAAAAATGGAATTCTGACGATTAAAAACTGTCCATTGTAAAGGAGGTGGTACTTGCTCATAGTAGTTCTACTGCATATTTTCAAGAAGCTCCATCCAGATGGGACAACTGTCAATCATCCCTGGACCCCCGGGGGGGACCACAGGTGTGAGGGGTTCTCGGAAGCTGATCTGTAAATAAGGAAAACGGGACGGTGGCTGACATTAGGATTATCTTTAACTTAGGGTAAGTTGTACACTCTCTCTCTCTCCCTATAAATACCCCTTATAATAAATTAATTATTCACAAACTTGCCCTTGCTTTATTTATCTCCGCGACATATTATTTCCCCAGGAAGAAAAGCTATATTTACTATATAGAAACTATATATTTTTTTTTTATCGCTAGTACACATGGTACAAGCCATGATAATCATGGTGGGTAGTATTGGTAACTGCTTTTACTGTAAGTGCACCACATGTCTATACATGTGAAAAGCAGTTAGATTTTTGCAATTACAAATGTGCCAGAGCCCCATTTGGTTATTTGCACTCACTGATGAGGTTAAGACTTTAGCAAGAATCGGGGGCCATTGAATAATTTTTTTTTTTTTATTAGAAAAAAAATGTCCAATGCGGGATTCAATTCCGGGTCATAGCGGTCGAAAACCAATAGTTTAGATCATCCTTCCAAGGACACACAGAAACTATATTCATATACAGTAGAACCTCCCTATAAAGGACACCTAGTTGCATAGCCAAATTGTCCTTTAGGGAGAGGTGTCCTTTTACCGGGCAGTTGCTAAATAGTAAACATGGTAATTTTGACAATGAAAACTCTTCTTTGTAGAGAGGTGTCCTCTAGCGTGAGTGTCCTCTCACGGAGGATTTACTGTAATAATGGTTACACACAGAAACTATATTCATATACAGTAGAACCTCCCTGTAAAGGACAACTAGTTGCATAGCCAAAGTGTCCTTTTACCAGAGAGTTGCTAAATAGTAAACATGGTAATTTTGACAATGAAAACTGTTCTTTGTAGAGAGGTGTCCTCTAGCGTGAGTGTCCTCTCATGGAGATTGTAATTATGGTTAAAAGAAGAAAAAAAAAAGAATCAGTTACATCAACCACTGTTCTTTTATATTCCTCCTTCTTCTTTCTTATCTCCACTCAATCACACTAAGGTATCAAGCTTGAGACTTTTGATGGTGTCTGCCGGGGAAGAGTAGAGCTCATCAATGGATGAGTCAATACAGTCAATAATATGTTTTGGGGTTGCAGGCTGAGAATTGCACTTAGTACATATATATATTCCTCCTGATATTTCAGTGAATATTTGTCACTCTGAGAAGAATCTACCAATGATATCAATCAATCCCTTGAGGAGAGTAACAGTCACTGAAACATCAGGAACAAAATAAATAGAGATTGTAGTTGATATAGCTGTATCCAAACACATTTCCAACCAGCAAATGATGTTTAAAAAAAAAATCTATTAACAATGAAAAGGCACAATTTAGATTATAAACATAAGGTGATAAGACCAAATCTAATTTATTAATTACTAGCGGATGTGTACCCGGCTTCGCCCGGGTTTTATCAGAGTGAAAGTTTGCCTAACGAATATTATATATTATGAAGTATAATAAACAATGTTAAAGATTAGTTTTAATTATTAATCAAGATTGTGTGTGAATATGTGAGAAAGATGTAATATCGTTGTTGTTTTCTTGGCCGACTGTTTTACATATGGTGTTATCTTAAAATTGCTTGTTTTGAATATTTTTTTAGATTGAGTTGAATGAATTGCTGATTTTTTTTTTGTATTTATATATAAATAAAATTAACTCTGTTGATTTTTTTTGTATTTAATCGATAACAGCGAAGTTACGCATGTTAATGTTAGGGAAAAATATTTTGATGTTAAGCAAAACCTGCTCCATCTCGTTTTACATAAATGTTGAAAATTTGGTCGAAATTGATGCATTGTAACGAAAGTTTTTAGCGAACAACACTTATGAAATTTGAATTTTATTAATATAGATTTATTTGGTCTTATCACCTTGTATCTATTAATGTAACATTTTACTCACTGAATTTATTATTCTAACAAACAAAGCAATAAATTAAACACAAGGTAATAAGACCAAATCCAAATAAATAAATAGTGTGTGACATTTTGGTAACAGCGTTGTTACCATCTTCAGACCTTGATATGGCACAATTTGGATTATAGATTATAAAACAAGGTAATAAGACCAAATCCAAATAAATAAATAGTGTGTGACATTTCTGTAACAGCGTTGTTACCGATTTACAATCTGAAGATGGTAACAACGCTGTTACCGAAACGTCACACACTATTTATTTATTTGGATTTGGTCTTATTACTTTGTTTTATAATATATAATCCAAATTGTGCCATATCAAAGCAATAAATTATCGTATTGGTATATTTAGCACTTTAAATTTATAAATTGCCATCTATCGTTGAAATTTGTAACATATAAATTTACTGGCAATGTGTTTCTTTTAAATAATATCATCAAATTTTATCTCTACAGACCTTACTGCAATGATATAAGATATTGAATGAGAGGGCTTGGCTCATCAGTAGTGAACCCTCTCAGCGGTTTCGCCAAATTAATCTCTAGACCACTCTACTATTGTATTGGATTGGGATATACCCTGTATTTACTATGGAAGGCAGTTTAAGTACTTTTCCATATAAATATATGTACCTTTTTTTTTTTAAATATAATAAAATAGAACAACCTCCATGAGAGGTCACTCCCGCTAAAGGACATCTTTATACACATAACAGTTTTCATCACCAAAATAACCATTTTTTAATAATTAGCAACTCTCCAGTAAGAGGACACATCTCAGTCCAACCCCACCAGCGAGTGCAAGTAACCAAACGAGGCTCTGGCATATTTGTAAATGCAAAGTCCAACTGCTTTTCACATGTGTAGACATGTGGTGCACTTACAGTAAAAGCAGTCGCTAACTACCCACCAAAGATAAGAAAGAAGAAGAAGAGGACACACCTCTCCCTAAAGGACACTTTGGCTCTGTAACTAGGTGTTGTCTTTTACAGAGAGGTAGTTCTACTGAATTAAAAAAAAAAAAAAACAATTATGTTGAATATCTCTGCAGAACATTAATGACTATGTGCTGTCAAATGTAACAATAGGTTAGGATAGGTATGGTTAGTTTCAGATTGATAGGTTAAATTAGGATAGGTTATTTTGATAAAGCACAATTTGGATTATAGATTATAATACAAGAAAATAATCCAAATAATTTATTAGTGTGTAAGGTTTCGGCAACAACATTGTCACCATCATCAGACAAAAGAATAAAATGAAATCTCTAATCCAAATTGTGCTTTATCATTTTTGATAGACTTCAATGGACCTAAGAAGTTATTCTTTCATTTTATTCTTTTGTCTGATGATGGTGACAATGTTGTTGCCGAAACGTCACACACTAATAAATTATTTGGATTAGGTTTTATTTTCTTGTAGGATAGGTTGTGTTTTAAGAAAGAAACAATATTGAAACAAATAGGCCT